TAACTGTTAAATGAGAAACTATTTTGTTCTGTAAGCCTTCATAGCAACTCAATTGGAAGAGCGTAGCTGATGTCACCGAACTGTGCATGTAGAAATTTTTGAAATGGTGTATCTTTGGCTATGTATATTTTCACCCAAAAAAAAAGGTCAAGAAGGGAGAGGGTTGACATGTTTTGGGGTTGTTAACCAATGTCATAAAACAGTATGTGTACTACTATTTCATGAGAAACTATTTGTTCCGTAAGCCTTCACCTGAAGTACAATTTAAAAAAAAAAAAAAAATTCAAAAAAAGAATTCAACCACAAAAAAAAAAAAAAAAAAAAAAAAAAAAAAATTCAACCAAAAAAAAAAAAAAAAAAAAAACTATTGTGTGGTAACCATTTCATGTGGTTCAATCTAAACATAATAATTACCAAGCAATGAATTGTTCCTTTGCTGTCACCTCTTAAGAAAAAAGATAAAATTTAAGTTCCAAATCTTTGTTCAAGGGCATTCAGGTTTTTCTCTTCCATGGTGATCTATGTGCCTCCGATATCTATCTGTGCGCAGCTTCAGAGAATCTGGAATAATGTGAATTCCTGCTTTCTGTCTTTCAGGAAGAATATGTTCAAGAGGGAATAAGATGGACACCCATTGAGTACTTTAATAACAAAATCGTGTGTGACCTCATAGAGAACAAAGTTGTACGTATTGTGCAACGTTTCTTCTCTGCGCACGGGTTGGCATGAAGCGAGCTTTTGTTCTCTGTCGTTGTACAACAGTTGAAATGATAACGCTGATTTACAGAAAATTTTAGCATCTACATCAATCTTTTTGTGTTTCTGTATATGTGGGAAAATAGAACAGTAGGTTTTATCCTTTTAGTAAATATAAATGTAGGGATATGAATAAAATATCAACTTAACAATGGAAGTTGTTGCTGAATTCTAAGAGAAGACCATTGTCACTTATGTAGATGGCATAGGCTCTGAGGAGCCATAAAACCGCCCCTGCCGTCTAGCCCAATCATACAACTTCTAGGACTTTATCCCTAAGAAATTATTTAAAAGAAAATAAAAAGCAACGTTGGCAGAGACTCCACAGTACTGTTTTTTATAACAGCCTAAAACTGGAAACAGTAAAGAGACCCTTTGATAATACAGTCATTAAATAAACTAGGATATATCAGAGTAGGTGACTGTAACCACTAAAACAAGAAGTATAAAGACTATGTAAAACATGAGAGATGTTTATAAAATGGTGTAAAGTGAAAAAAAGGAAGACACAATAGAATGTGTGCAGTCCGGATGTGTTTTTGTGTAAACGACATCTGTGCAGTTCATAGGGTGAAAGAGACCATTAAGAAATGAGCTAAGGCCGAAGGGAAAAAAAGTTGTTTTTTTTAGGTTTTTAAAGTCAACTTAGTAGTACAAAGAGTAGAAAGCAGATAATAATCAGTGAATGACTTTGAATAAAGCTGCAGGGAATTAAATAGGTTTTTGGAAAATGGACTTTCCTTCATCTTTAAATCTCAGAGGTGACTCCCCGTTTGAGACTATTAATTGCGTTCTTGCTCAAGGGGAAAGTCTGACTTTCAAGATAGTATCGTCAGTCTAGGGAGCTGGATGCTTACTTAGGAAAGGGCCCGATAAGCATTGTATATTTTAGATGTCAGTGATGCGGACATTGGCCTTCTTGGTCCCCTCAGAACCCTCCTGGAATCATGAGCATCCTGGATGACGTGTGTGCCACGATGCACGCGGTGGGTGAGGGCGCCGATCAGACGCTGCTCCAGAAACTCCAGATGCAGATTGGGAATCACGAGCACTTCAACAGCTGGAACCAAGGCTTCATTATTCACCACTATGCTGGGAAGGTATGGCCAGAGCACAGGTTCAGAAGGAAAAATTTATCTTTTCCAATGTCTACCAGCTTTACGCCTTTGGGCTTGTAATCTGTTTTCTCATGTGGCAAATTGTATCAGTGCCCATATAGCTTCATTTCCTCGCTATGTTTTATTCACTTAACAAATAGGACTTATGAAGTTTGGGGGAGGGGACAGAACAAAAGATAGTATCCACCACCGTGCATTCTTTTTTAAGCATGAATCACCCTGGAACATATATTAACTGCTGGAGGAATGTAGAGTCAAAGTACTTTCGGGCATTATTGCCTTTCCTCCTACTGCAATCACAAAAGCAAAAAAAACAAACAAAAAACAAAAAGCCAGTTTGTCATGGTGTCAACTCATGGTGACCCCATGTGTATCAGAGTAGAACTGTGCTCCAGAGAGTTCTCAGTGGCTGATTTTTCAGAAATAGATCACCTGGACCTTCTTCCAAGACACCACTGGGTAGATTCGAACTGCCAACCTTTCGGGTAGTAGCCAGGCACTTAACTGTGCCATCCAGAGACTCTGCCACAATCACAAACCTGGATAAATAAGGGCCAAGAGCTCACTTTTGGTGTTTGTTCTCATCAAAGGCATGAGTGTTGGCTGCCTACTGGGTGCCCGGCACTTTGTGGACACTGGTGATACAAAGATAAGTTGAGGTCCTTGTTCTTGGGGACCTCCTGGTGCTGTGGAAATCCGCTAGTCTCACCTCTCACCCCAAACAGTCCTTTGTTAATCAGGGTCCCTGGTTAGCATGAACTTGTAGCAAATTAGTGCAACCTTTCTGGCACCACTTCTGAGAGAAATTGCAAAGCCTTAGATGACATGGCCCATTGCAATGAACTAATGAACATGAAGGTTTCATTTCTGTTCTGTCTTGACTAAAATCTAGGAGAAGGATTAAATTTATTACTTACACAATCCCAGTGGATCCACTGAAGAAAGGGTATGTGTTCTTTAGAACTGCAGTCCTGGTCATAGGTCATCTAGGTCATCTAGGCTGCCCAGATGCCGTTCATCAGCATCTGCAGGCCACACCCACTAAGTCAGCTCACAAGTTAATATGAGACGTCACAGTCATGATGTGACCATTCAGGATGAAATCTGAAATGCTCCATCAGGAAATAGACAGATTCGGGTGAGACTAGCCTTGTCAGCTCTGGTTTTTGTTCAGTGAAATAAAGTGCATAAAGGATAACGTTAGATCTCTTTCCATTCTTGGCCAGGTATCCTATGACATGGATGGCTTTTGTGAGCGCAACCGTGACGTGCTTTTTATGGATCTGATCGAGCTTATGCAGAGCAGCGAGCTGTAAGTGTTGTTCGGCCTCATCTGACGTGGGATGTTGGTTTGATCAAACTTCAGGTATTAAAACAAATGTGTGGTATTTGAGTGGTCAGCACTGTGTTCCTTTGAGCTGTTTCGGCTGGATTATAACCGGACAAATTGGTTCTTAAAAGAGCTTTCTCTTTTCCACTCTCAGTCTCTCGTGCCCCCAACATTTCCCTGTACTCAAACCCCAAATGCCATCTGCATGCTCTTTACAGTCCCTGACTTCATTCCAGCAACACTGTCAGGGAGAGGTGACCATCCTGGGGCTGGGCTCGGGTGGCCTTTTCTTACCATCCAAGAGTGGGACAGCCTGGTTCTGGGATATTTTGCCCTTGGAACATCACCCCAAAGATTCTCTGTGGTCATTCAGTTTTTAAAAATGGCTAATGGTTTAGAAAGACCCAAGTTAACCTGAATCTCTGAAGCACTTGGGAAATAACTCAAAAACTCAGAGGAAGACACCTGGCTGGGGGTTTGCTCCGAGATCCATTTTAGCTCCTGAGATGCTGTCTAAGCTCTCAGGGTAGAGGTAGTTGTGGTATTGCTCCTTGCAAGCCGCTCGAGTTGAACCTTTTTCAGTGTTAAAATTATTATGTTATCCATGTGTTTTGTTGTTGTTGAGAATATACGCAGCAAAACATACACCTAGTGAACAGTTTGTATCTGTGCAGTGCGGTGGCATTGATTACATTCTTCGAGTTAAAATTCTTTCCTCAGGACCAACTCTGCTGTTTCCTTTCCTCCTGTGTTTCCTGCGAAGGTCCCCGCGATCCTGGGAAATGGGGAAGGAGACATACTTTACGTGATGGGGCCTGGGCGTGCCGGGCAAGCACAGTATTGCACAGACAACAGATTGTGTAGTTCTTAGAGCTGCCTGCACCTAGGAGCTGTCCTTTGCATATCATTGCTTGAGCTCTTACAGCAGTCAGGACGGACTTCTCCAAGTGACGACGGCGAGCCTGACAATTTCAGAAGAAAAGCCCGGCTCCCGGGAGTTTCTGTTGCAGACCATTGTCAGAAGTCGTTCTCCTGTGCTTAGCTGTCTCCCCTCTCCCACCCTGGGCTCCTCTCTCTGGCCATGCTTCCTCGCATTCACAGCCCCACTCTTGAGATCTCAAATTTCCTTCAGTCCAAGACACATCGCATCCATTTGTTTTTCCCTAAAAGGGCCAGGTAAGCGCCAGTCAGGTGCACACTTGCTTCTAGAATTTTCTTTTTTTTTAAATTAAAATCCCTGGGTTATTAGATAGAGAGCTAGTTATGCTTTCACATAAATGCCTGTCATAGAGACATAGCCTATTGCTTTATAACGCATTTACTGCAAAAAATCTATGTTTGTGTCTGGTCAAGTTAGACATAGATTCCTGGAGAGGCTTCCTGGAAAGCTCAAGGTGTCCTCAAGGTCATTTAGGAGGAAGGTGAGTTTGAGTGTCAGATTGATAATTTACAAGGATCACTTTATTCCGTCAGTCACCAAATATTCATTAAGCACTTACTGTGTACCCGGCTGTGCTGCAGACACCTGAGGTACAGAGGTGGCACAGATGTCCCTCTCCTGCCTTGCTGCTGAGGACACATGTAGACAAATGGGGCCTGTTGAGAACTACTGATGACAATATATACGGAAACAGAGCCCTTGAAGTTGCCCATACGCAGAAGCACAGCTTCTCAAGTCAAATGGTTAAAGAAGGAGCCCTGGTGGTACAGTGGTTAAAGCTCTCGGCTGCTAACCAAAAGGTCGGCGGTTTGAACCAACCAGCTGCTCCTTGGGAGAAAGATGTGGCAGTCTGCTTCCATAAAGATTATAGCCTTGGAAACCCTATGGGGCAATTCTACTCTGTCCTACAGGGTTGCTATGAGATGGAATCGACTCAACAGCAGTGAGTTTGGGTTTTTGATTTGTTGGGTTAAAAAGTGCTTGTCTGTGACTGTGCCAGGCTCCAAGATATGCTTAATTTAGATTTTCTGTTTGGGGGTGGGAGGATAGAATGAGTGAGCTGCTGGCATCTTGCGGATAGGACTCTGGGATGCAGCCTCATCCTGCAGTGCGCAGGACGGACTCCCACAACAAAGAGTTATTCAGCACAAATTATCAGTAGTGCCAGGGCTGAGAAGCCTGCCGCCAAGCAAAGCAGTTCCCTGAGCCCCGGTCTGTCTTGCTTGTCTTAACTCAGCAAACCCATAGTGACCTCCACCTGATGTGTTGTAGCATCAAGGTGTATACCTCAATGCCAGTGAGCAAGGAAATCCACACGGCAAGGATTGTTAAAATTATCTCTTTGGTCTTAGACTCCAAGATGCTTGTATCTTAGAATTCTTTCTCCGTGTTTCTTTTGTCGGTTGCTCATTTCCTGGAGTCAGATCTTGATGGCGTGCCCTGCTGGTCAGATGGCATTTCTGGAGCCAAGGTTATGTGCTGCTGGACGACTCTCCCTCCTTTCTCTGTGGAAGCAGGCTGTCAGCCCCCGATGTCCTTACTGATTGCTAATCCAGTCTCTTTCTCCTTTTCCAGACCTTTCATAAAGTCTTTATTTCCGGAAAATCTGCAAGCTGACAAGAAAGGACGCCCAACTACTGCCGGAAGCAAAATAAAGGTTTGTTCTATTCTGGGAAGTTTATAGATTCCTGTAAGAGCTAGGTTTTTCTAGGAAGTCAGGAACAGCATCTCTGGGCCAGGATGAGGTCCGTAAGATGTAAGGGGACCGTCACAGAGATGCCCAGAAGTAATATTGCTGCTTGAGAAAAGGTTACAGGATGCAAGCTGGTTTGATTTGCCTGTACTGAAACCCCAGAGGATAGTAAGCACCTTCACAGCTCACTAGTCAGCAGATAATAATCAGCTTCTTTCTAAGAGGAAATGGCGTTCAACTGAGTCTGGAAGAATTCACGTTAAACTCTCAGAGAAATTTTGTGATTCGGGGCCACCTTTTGAGTTTTGATGACAGTTTTCCAGGCCAGGCCTGAGAATTTGCCAGTTCTGGAACTTAGTGTGCCTCAAGTTCCATGGGGTTTCAGAGGGCAGATTTATGCATCCTTCCCCTCTGGATGCTGCAGGCCCGTCCTCACTGTGCATTTCAGCACATCCGGCAGTGTCTCAGAGTCAGAGGACTCGCTGAGGTTCTCAGTGTCTCTTGGGAGCCCCCCATGGGCAGTACTCCATCATCTGGGCCATTGTGTGGGGAAATCCTTACTCCCTAGTTGAGAGGTCAAGTCAAATGCACTTAATAATGTAACGCTTGCAGAAATCGTCACTACACCATTTTCTAAAACTCATACGAGTTAAATAAAAAGTAAATAAATAAAACCCATTGCCAGTGAGTCGATTCCGACTCACAGTGACCCTATCGGACAGAGTAGAACTGCCCCATAGGGTTGCCAAGGTTATAGTCTATACGGAAGCAGACTGCTACATCTTCTTCCCGCAGAGTGGTCGGTGAGTTTGAACCAGGGACCTTTTGGTTAGCAGCCGAGAGCTTAACCATTCGCCACCAGGGCTCCTCACCAGTTAAATACCTTCCAATTTTATATCCAAAGAGATGGTCGAGTGGTTAGTGGTAAAGGGCTTGGGTCGAACTCGCCTGGTTTCGGATCCCAGCACTGGCTTTAACTAGCTGTGATTGCCAGCACGTGACCTAACCTCTCAGTGGCTCTTGCTTTATCTGTAAGATGGAGGTCATACTACCTATACCAAGGGGTTGCTGTGGTGACTAAAATCAGTAATCCATCTAAAGCATTTAGCGTAGTGCCTGAAACATAATCAGCACAAAATGTATGCCAGCTCCTATTGCATGTACCCGGTCAGTCCCCTCCCTGCCTGCCATCTTGTTCATCCCTGCTTAATTCTTTGTGGATGTTTGTATTTGCACGTTCTTGCTCCCAGCCTAGACTGTGCTTTCCCTCGCACTCGGTGTGCCCAGGTCTTTCCCGTCTTCCTCCACGGTGCCCTCCTGGATAACCCCCAACCTCATGGGCACCATGGTTATTATTGTCTGTCCTGTTTCCTCGATCTCGGAGTGTTCTGTGTGTGCAGCCTGCCTCCCCCGCCTTTGGTAAGCTTTCTGAGGGCTGGAATAATGGAAACGATCGGCGAAAGTTCCCGGCAATGAGAAGATTCCCATCAAGAGTAGCCTTGGGTTTTGTGGAGGAAGTCAGTTGCAAGCTGGGATTTGACTTGGAAGGTGGAGCCCTCTGGGTTCCAGGAACCTCATGTACAAAGAGCGGGAGAAATTGAGTAGCCCTGGGATGGTAGCTGAGGTGGGTTCACAGGAGCAGAGAGTGAGGGAGAGAGCAGATGGAGTTCTCATGAGGCCCAGATATTCGGTCTGTGTGAAGTTTCTGACTGATGCCTTCACTTCAATGTCCTGGATAAGGATTAGCTCTGGGCTGGAAAATCTAGTCACAAGATGGTCACGTTCAGATCCAAGGCCCAGATCATCAAGGTTGCCATGACTCACTTTCAAGTGGTCTGGATTCTCAGCCAAGGTTATTCCCTCTGAAAAAAAGGGGAGAGGAGGCTAGGGGCATTTTTCCCCCACTTGGGAGACTTGACCCCTTTCTTTCCTTTATATTCTTGTCTTATTGAATGCCACAAATCGCCACCTTTCTGGGCTGTAACCGAATGTTTAGGATTTCAAGTCTCAAGCCATCATATAGGGAGGTCAACCTGAAGTCAGCCAGCTTATCTAGCAGGGGTGGACCTCTGCATGTCCCCCTCTCCCCCCGCAATTGTACCATCTTTGGTGGATTACGTGACCTCAGTCAACCCATGTGCTGCCTCTGTGTGGGAGTGGAATTCTCCTGATACAACACTCACAGAGCAGAGAGGCTGTGTGGAGGATTTTCTCCACCTTGAGGGACTGTCTGCATATTCTCCGTTTTCTGCCTTCCTCCAAAGAAAGTGAACAGCTTTCGTCACTGGCAGCATCCACGTACACCAGGCAAAGTATTGGGTTCATTGAATAATAACTGGTGGAGCAGTGGAGAAAGAAGTTCTTAATCCCAGGGAGAGACAATAAGAACAGAATCGAAACCGTGCCAGGAGCCCCACTGTGCCCATTTTATGACAGAGGAAAATATCATATTCTGTCCCCCTCTGCAGTGATGCTGTGTGTAATACTCTGAGCAGGAGAGAGTTTGTGAAAAGCCTGATACTGTAGTCACCAGTTTGCTTCTGGCATTTTACTGCAACCGATCGCGAGGATGGGGCAGGACTGGGCAGCGTGTTGTTCTGGTGTCCATGGGGTTGAAATGGTTTTGTTCCTCAGGCAGGCTCTCTTTGCTCCGTTTTGGCATCCATCAATTCAACAAACATTCGTTGAACATCTCACTCTTACTCTGCACCAAGAATTGTATTAAATGCTGCATATAAAATGTCAGTCTCTGCCCCTGTGGATACTCCTGCAATCTAGGGAGCCGTTCCTACTGGCCCTAGAAGCTTACCAAGTGTTTGGCTTCTAAGTGAAGACTCGTCAAAGTTTCAGATTGAAGAAGCCAAAGAGTTAGGTTTTTTGTTTGTTTGCTCTCCTTCTAATTACTGATAGAAAAAGAAAATGTGCACAATTCTAATAGCTAAATATTTTTCTTACTTAAAAAGTATCAAAAGGAATTTTGAGAGGTGTGTCTCTCGTTGAATATATTTATCCTTATTTGTCTTTTCAGACACCATTCAGACTTCAGAAATTACCGAAATAATTTTTTTTTAACTTAGTTCCACATTTAATAGGGAAAAAAATGCCCTTTAAAGGAAACCAAGTCATAAACAGCCATTAAATCAGTTTTGAAGACAGGGCTTACAGTTATCAGCTGACCACGTCCAAGTGTGTTTGGATGCAATGTTAATAATGGGATGCCAAGTATATAAAAATCTGCAATTTTAAAATGTTATTCTTCAAGACCTTAAGACATATTTATTCTATATTGTAGGATAACCGTTTACCTGGAGTCTAGCAAATGAGAAAGTTCAAAATCACAACACTTGTTACCTCGAGCACTTAAGAACATGTAGAGTTCAACTTAATATTACGATCTTTAGAAGATGTTAGTAAAGAAAGCTACTGTTAGTAACGCAGGAGGGTCATAGAAGGAAGTCAAAGGTAAAGGGCAACTGTTGGCGGGGGGGAAGGTGAGGAAGGATGCCAACAGAGAATAGATTAATAAGGAAGGAAGAGGAGAACTTGGAGTGGAAGTAGCAAAAGAGATTCAGATGCAGAAGGATGCTTCATTTGGGGGATATCTGCAAAAGTTCTAGTAAAATACAAAGCAAAAAAGGTCGAGTACTCGGACCGTTGCTGTCAAGGGGAACTCAATAGGGTGAGACACAAGGACGAGAATAGAAAAGGTCCAAGCAGAAAGGTCACAGCACTGCCTTACCGTCAGCTTATAGGGTTGACGTTTAGACACTACCGTCGTTGCTGCTGCTGTCAGGTTTGCCCCTGCCTCACATCAACCCCGTGCACAATCGGATTGGACAGTTGTGATCCATAGGGTTTTCGCTGGGTGATTTTTGGAAGCAGATCACCAGGCCTTTCTTCTCCCTAGTCTGCCTTAGTTTGGAAGCTCTGCTGATACCCGTTAAATATCATAGCAACAGGCAAGCCTCCACCGACAGACGAGTGGAGGCTGATCATGAGGAACATCGGCCAGGGCCAAGTCTGCCTGGTATTATTTGTCAAAGAATGTTCTGATAGTTGAGAATATAGTTACAACTGAAACATGAGCTCAGATACTTGAAGTGGTAAAAATAAAAGCTTCAATCAAGAATCTGGTCTTAAGTGGGATGGAAGAGTAGACTGAGTGGTGAGTAAGCTGAACTGGCACTTGGTTTGCAGAATGCAGGTGTGGTAGAGCATATCTGAAGGCTGCAGAGTTGAAGGATGCTGATGGAGACAATGAGGATGCTGAGGACAGATTCAGTCAGTGGGTGTAGGGGCTTCAGCTTTGGGGGCTGTGGCTAAATTCACAAAAAGCAATCCTCTTATATTATCTAGCAAGTTGTAGATTTGCAAGTTTTGCATTTTACTCATAAGAAAATTGGGCGAATTCCCTATAAGTAACAAATAGTATGGGTTTATTTTACACATTCCCACTGACACACTTCTTGGAAGTACAGAGCCATGGCCCAATCTCTTGCACCTTCCACATCTACAATATTTTATGGATGTCATTAGGATCATCTTAATGCTATCCCTGAGGTGTTGGCATTTAAAGGAATCCTGAATCCTGGTGGCGTAGTGGTTAAGAGCTCGGCTGCTAACCAAAAGGTCGGCAGTTCAAATTCGCCAGCCACTCCTTGGAAACCCTATGGGGCAGTTCTACTCTGTCCTGTAGGGTCGCTAGGAGTCGGAATCGACTCGACAGCAATGAGTTTTGTTTCAAGTTTGAGTCTTCTGGAAGTAAAATCTATGTTCAGGGTGCTTGTGTATTTTATTAGTTTATAATGTTTTAAGATTTAAAATGGAACTGTAGGATATAATTAACAGAATATTCAGATTTTGGAAACTCCTATTTCCTTGATTATAAATGGGAATATCCTATATGTAGTAACACTTGATTGTGAGGCTTCGCTGAATTCTGTATTGTTGTGGTTGAAAGGAACCAGTGTTTCGGTTTGGACCAAAGATTGCTGCTACAAGGAAACAGACTCTAACTCAGAGCTGCTTGAGATGGTTTAGACTACGGCGCTGTCTAAGTGACGCGGGACCTCTAACAGGGTGGGATGTGTGAGAGACGATGTGGGTGTTTGGACTGCTTGGATTTTTTAAAGTTTTTTAAGTTGGTTGACTTTTAACATCTATTCCAACCTTTGAGATATTAGAGGTCTTCTAGACCAATCCCCTTATTTTACAGATGGGGAAACCAAGGCCCAGAGAAATTTAGTGATTTGTCACATAGCTTACAAAATGCAGAACCAAAACCACAACCCAGGCCTGCTAATAATCTGTGTTGAGGGTAGAATGAGGTACTATCACCCTAAATCTGTTCTGATTGTCCTGCCTACCTTCATATCTTGATCCCTGCTCCTATTAGCGCGTGCCATTTGGAGTTTTCTGTGTAGACTCATGGACTCTACTTGACCAGAATCAGGAGCTTTACAACCACCTCAGCAGAAATCTAAAGTTGACTCATATCTTTGGAAATCTGGAATAATTTCGATGGTTAAGATGTTTGCTGAGATTAATTACCCCTCCACCTGAAGACTTCTGTCTAATCCTAGCTCACCCAGTTGCTTCCTTTTATACCACACTAAATTATCTCCTATCTTTGTTAGGAACGCGATATGGGATTGTGGTTAAGAAACAGACTTTGGTAGCTCACAGACCTGGGTTCAAGCCCCACTTCTGCTGCTTATTAATTATGGCACCTTGAGCAATAGTGTAATACTTTAAGCCTCAGTTTTCTTGTCTCAGATGCAGGAGTAATAATAGTAGCTACCTCTTAGAGTCGCTGGGAGGCATAAATGCAATAATCCACATGTCCCGCCATGATGCATACCCTGTAAAGGCTACTCACCTCTCTTTTGTGCTAGAGAGAAAGAACTATGTCAAATGACATGTAAGCTGAAGTCCCACTTGCCTCTTATGCTGAGTGCAGAGAAGGTACGATAGTGTTCCCTTTTCACCATTTTCTTCAGAAATGCCTGCAAAGTTATTCTTGCCATTTTGGAAATTAAAAAAAAAACTAAAAGTGCTGTTATTAGCAACTCTGCAGTCCCTCCCAAGGGTCAGTTCATGTATTGCAAAGATAGATTTCTTCTGAGGTGCAGTGATCTACATCAGCAATTTACTTTTTCATCACAGAGCTTTGCTTTGGTTATGGAACCTCTGCAGCTTTGTCCTCGATCTCAAGGACTCCGAAGAACGCTGTATTCCAAGCATGTAAACAGAGGACTACTTCTCCAGTGAACACCTGTTGCTGTCTTTGTTTATTGTAGTAAATGTATAACGGGCCAGAACATTGGCCATTTCGACATTCTTCACACGGACAGTTCAGCAACATTAACTTATATTCCTCATACTGTTCAACCATTACCCTTATCCACTCCCAAATTATTCCAGCAACACCAGTGAGCATCTCGCTTGGAATATATGCAGAGCTTTTCTCAAGGGTTTCAGGTTTCCCAAACCCATGAAAACAGAAAAGCCCTAATTGAGAGAGGGCTGTCTTCTGCAAGCGAATCACTTCTGCTCACTTTGTAATGGTTTTCTGGCTTTGGGGATCCCTTTTCACTATTTTCTTTTAGAGGTTTTCTCTCTTCATGTTGATTTGCGTGGAAGGAGAGTTTGCAGATGTGCCCATCCCTGACCCACAGGGCGAGCTCTGCTGTGTGGTGTGGGGGAAATGCTGATGTGAGCACTGCTCCTGTCTTCAAACCAAGTTTGAGATTCTCATGATTTGAAAGACACCAGAAGCAATCCCAGCTTTGTCTGTGTGGCCTTTTCTGCCTGAGCTCAGTTCCGCTTTGGGCAGCCAGTGAGCAGGTGGTGATAGATGATTTTGTAGGAAATGTTTTAGCTTTGAGAAGGAGTAAGTTTTCTAATGCACTGAAAGTGCTCCAACGAAGTCTCATGTTTGAAAAGGATACACTGAGGAAGAAGGTGGATGAAATGGCATGTAAGAGATTGGTAAAATCTGAGTTTTTATGAATCTTGCATCCTTTGACAGTTCATTTCCATCATTGTTAATAGGGTGGTTCTTCACTTAATACGGTGGTTCTTCATTGATCGCATTGCCAGGAAAGAAAGGGCAGGGAAATTTGATGATTTATCCTTGCAAATAATTTGCCAAAAAGAAGTTTAATGAGAACAAAGTAATTGCAAAAGCCCTACATCCATATAAAAATGAACTTAATTTGTCTATAGCTTACGTGCTTCTTTGTACCATGTGAAAAGAATTGTATGAGAAGGTTTTTTTTATTATTGTTTTATTTTCTTAACTGTACTAAAGATGCCTAGTTGCTTTCAAAGAGCAAATTTCAAACACATTCAGTAGTGTTAAAAATCAGTAAAGCCTTTAGAAAGTTGAGTAGACCTTACTTAAGTTCAGTGAACAAATTGTCATAAAGATTAATTTCTACCTATAGAGTTCCACACTACAGTCTCACACGAAAGTGTTCTTTGAAAGTTGGTCTGCTTTGCGGGAAGTTCTTTGTTACTAACTGTTATTACTCTTCCTTCCTAGAAACAAGCCAATGACCTTGTGAGCACCCTGATGAAATGCACACCCCACTACATCCGCTGCATAAAACCCAACGAAACCAAGAAACCCAGAGACTGGGAAGAAAGCAGGTATGGAGAAAATGGCAGATGGGGAGATGGGAGCAGACGTGGGTGGGCTCTGCACATTTTCCCTCTGCCCAAGGTACACTGTCGTGCCCCCAAGGCAGGAGCAATTTAAATTGCCCCCAAGTGTGTTTGCCCTGCCCTCGCGTCTTAACTTTTTCAGGACCAAGCCTATGTATCTCATTTTTCCCCTTTATCTTTCTCTTTTCTTAAAATGTTAGCAGTGCCATTCAGTTCAGAATGAGCAATTTATAATGCTGATCTTGGCTAGTCTGGGGCAGATTTAAAAAAATAAAATACCGCAGAGTCATAATGGTTACAAAATTAGTTTGAGGCTCTGTAGTCTTAGTACACTCAGCTCCTAAACGGTGCCCACAGGATGTGGCCGAAAATGCTTAGCTCGGGTTGAAAGTGAAGGTACGGAGAGCTGGGTACAAGCAACCTATCATTTACTGTTGCTCATGAAGCTACTGAGGACATGCTGTAGGTTCTGTAGTTGCCACTGAAGAGCGTACAGAAGAGCAGCGTGACTGTATCTGGGAGGGAAGGGACCAAAGGAAAGATGTGGGCCACGTGTGTTCACTGGGCCCTTTTCCTCTATGACTTCTGGGCAAGCCTGGGTCACTGTGCCACATCATTGTGCATGTGCAAGGTGCAAGAGATTGGGCCACGGCTCTGTATCTCTAAGAAGTGTCTCAGAGGGAATGGATGAAATACTTTTATTAGGGGCTTGGCCTCTGCAGGATGAAATGGGGGTATTGAGTAAGACATATGTTAAGATGATGACTAGAGAATGTAGATTTTGCCCCTGGCTGGGGGCTCCAGACAAACATTCCTGATCTAACCATCCAGAGGAACATGGGAGGCGGGCTGGGCGACCCTGTCCACAGAGAGGACCCTGGCATAGTCATGTCCCAGGATGTGAGCATACCAGAATTGCTGTCTCTTTTCTCTTTTGGAGAAAAGAAAACAGACTCTTTTAGGGATCAAGTTACTTAAGATTTAACTTCAATGGGAGGACCAGGATTAAAATTCACAGCTGCTAATTACCTCCTGAAGGAGTCCTGGTGGCGCATTGGTGAAGCACTCAGCTGCTAACCGAGAAGTCAGCGGTTTGAACCCACAAACCACTATGCAGAAGAAAGATGGGGCGATCTGCTTCTGTAAAGATTACAGCCTAGGAAGCTCTATGCGGCAGTTCTACTCTGTTGTATAGGGTCGCTTTGAGTCAGAATTGACTTGACGGCAACGGGTTAATTACCTCCTCGGAGGGACATATATAGGTCCATTGCCCATCTTACCACCAAGATTTTTCCTAAGCCATGGCAGACAGATAATACTTGATTCTTTACAGGATGGAAAAGATAAGTAGTAAGGAGAACGCTCAACCTCAAATATTCACTGTCAGAAAGTTCTTCTTTATATGTGAATACTTCATGGTACGGTCTATTTTCTCGTCTTATGAGGTCCTACTACTTAGATGTAGGAGACTTCCATTTTGTCAATCTCCAGTCTTTTTGAATAATCTCATCCATAGATGCATGTCCCTAAGTCTTCTTTTCTATTTAATTGTTGAGATTTTTCAATTTTCTGTAATCTAAGATCCTTCTGCAACAATCGCTGGTAATGATATTCAGGCTCTGATGAGGAACTCACACCTCCTTAGGTGATCAATCCATCTTTGGATGATTTTCACTTTTACGAGGCTCTCACAGTCATTCTCCAAGGCAGTTTTTCCCTGGTCCTGGGTCTGAATCTGCCATAAGAATTATTCTCATTACTGTTCTACTTGACAGCTCTTCTGATGGTTCAGGAAGTCAGGGTGGCCATTGTGTTTCCCTCGCATCTTCTACGGGCTAATCACTCTCAGTTCCTTCAGCACTTCCTCTTGGGACCGGAGTCCAACCATTCTCCATCTTGGTCATTCTCCTGGACATAGTTTGTCCTCTGTTTCTTTGAAATGTATAGTAGCTCAGTTTCTCCTTTTTGGCCAAGAGGGAACCAGCATTGTGATATCTTCCCACCCGTAGGTAGAAGAATGTTCTTCTTTGCCCTCTTAACACTGGTTCTCAAACTTAAGCGTGCATCAGAATCCCCTGGAGGGCTTGGTAAACCCAGATTCCTGGGCCCCCCTTCCCGAGAGCTTCTGATGCAGTAGGCCTGGGGTGGCACTCAAGAATTTGCATTTTCAAAAAGCTCCCAGGTGCTGCTGGTGCTGCTGGCCTGGGCACCACACTTTGAGAATCACTGATCCAGAGCAAAGGGCTAGACTGGGATGTGGAAAACCTAGGTCCTGGTGCTGGCCTCATTTTTGAGCAAGATACTTAATCTCCCCAGTCCTCAGTTTCTTCCTCTTTAAACTGAGAGGGTCAGTCTAGAATAGGATCTCCAAAGAAGCACCCTTTTCTTTTTTAACTTTATATTACAGAAAACTTAAAAATAGAATCATATTATGAATCCCCATGTACTCATCACCCAAATTCGTTAATTACAACTCATGCAATCTTGTTCCAACTCTATCCCCACCCATTCCCTCCTTTCTGTCTGGTTATTTTCAAGCAAACCCCAGACATCATGTCCTTTCACCTATAAATATTTCAGTATAAGAATTCTGTATGAACATAACCACAGTTCCATTATCACACCTAAAAATGAGACTGATTTTTGTTATCAAATATGGATTCAATGTTCCAATTTTTCTGATTGTCATATATTTATTAATTTTTTTTTTTTTTACAGTTTGTTTGAATCAGGATCCGAATAAGGTCCATAAATGGGAATTGCTCTCCTTTTTTTCTTCTGACAGTATATTGTTAAAGAAACTAGGTTATTTATTCTGTAGAGTTTTCCCTGTCTGGATGTTGTAATCTGCATCCCTTTGGTGCCATTGATATGTTCCTCTGTCCCCTATATTTCCTCTAAATTGGTTCCTACATTTAGAGGCTTGATCAGATCCAGGTTTAATTTTTTTATTTCTTTTTTGCAAGAATACTTCGTAGGTGGTGTTGTGTTCTTCCATTGAGGGCATGTGGTGTTTGGCTCCTATCTTTGTGATGTTAGCAGCCGTTGATGACCAATGCCTGTATCCATTAATTCATTATGGGTTGCAAGATCATGGTATTTTAATTGTATTTCTTCGTTTATTAGCTGCAAAGCACCTACAGGAAAAAATACCCTTAAACAACTTTATAGTAGTCTGAGCTACCACGCAGTGTTTTCGGCCGTCCCTCTGTCTATCCATTCATGTTGCCAGTTACTCTAAGTGTTGTGCTGGGGTCGGGGGGTTAAAGACGGAAGGAATGGCCCCTATTGTCGGGGACCTCTTGGTCTCATAAAGTGACTCTGAAGATTCTCAACCTGGGAGACAAGTTTTCTTTCTCTCTGGAGGGAGAGAATTTCCCATCAGCCTGTAGAAAGGGTTTTGTAGCATAAATGGTAAGAATTAATGATGAAGTCCTAGCTAGGAAGAGATCAGGAACGTTCCCAGGGCTGTTCCCCTATGTCTGTCAGTCTGCCTCTCTCTGTCTCTGTGTCATTCTGCACTCACCCCGTCATGCATACACATCTCAGGCACATGCGTGTGCCTACAAACACATGCACACACACACAGCAGAAGGGGTGGTGTCATAGACAACCCCAGAAATAAATTACAAGAGTCTTGGAACCAGAGGTGGTACCAAAGGGTGCTTAGCCCACCCTCCCCAGCTACTTCAAACTCCATTCATCTGTCCTGCCCCAGCCCTCCCAGCAAGCATGATCGTAAATGAAAACATCTCACTTGTCCCACAAAGGCAGCACCTCCCGTCGCACCCTGTTCGCTCCCTGCCACGTTGCTCGGCTTCAGGTTTCTTAATTGTGCAGTAGCTGCTGCCTGAAGGGTCCTCAGTGCTCACCTCCTTCCCCTAAAACCCAAATTGACTTGTTGGATATCAGAAAAAGGAGAAAGTAAGAGTCGTTCATTTTATTCAATAAATCTGCCAAGGATTTTCCCAAGTGGTGTTGTCCCTTTTTTAATTTGTCTTTGTTACATCCCTTACTTGAATTACAGCAAGGAACTTCATGACATTAGTATACCCATGCCAACTCGTTGGTCACGCGTTGATTTCTATTTCCAGTAGAACTCCTCCCCAGTCAGCCATTCGGGTTGGTTGCATGATGGATGGTTTCACGTTATGGGAGTTTGAGTGTTGGTTGGTGTCTGAGTGTCTTAGAAAGGCCAGTGTGCTTGGCTGACGGGGATTACACGGTCTAATGAAGTTCCACAAGTTTATGGGGTGTGGTTTTTTTTTCTTTTCCCGTTGAAAATGTGTTTTTGTTTGGCTTCTGGCAATGTTGCTTGCCCTGGATTCTGAATTGCTGCCCCAGCAGTCTCAGGTCTTGACCTACTTGAGCTAACGGCTGAGAATAGTCTTTTTTTTTTTTTTCTTTTCTTTTTTTCCTTGTACTTTTAGATGAAGGTTTACAGAACAAACTAGTTTCTCATTAAACAATTAATACACATATTGTTTTATGACATTGGTTGCCAACCCCACAACATGTCACACTCTCCCCTTCTCGACCTTGGGTTCCGCATTACCTGCTTTCCTGTCCCCTCCTGCCTTCTCATCCTTGCCCCTGGGCTGGCGTGCGCATTTAGTCTCATTTTGTTTTATGGGCCTGTCCAATCCTTAGGTGAGGGGTGAACCTCAGGAGTGTCTGGGGGCCATACTCTCGGGGTTTCTCCAGTCTCTGTCAGACCAGTAAGTCTGGTCTTTTTTTGTGTGTGTGTGAGTAGAATTTTATTCTACATTTTTCTCCAGCTCTGTCCGGGACCCTCTGTTGTGGTCCCTGTCAGGGGAGTCGGCAGTGGGAGTCGGGCACCATCTCCCTGTGCTGGACTCAGTCTCGTGTCAGGTGTGGTACTTGTGGTCCGTTATGGGGACAGTCTTGAAGAGGACTCCTCCAGAGAGGAGCAGACCACCTAGCCAAGGGACAAAACTGGGCAGTACCGGCCTTGCTGATGCTTACAGAAGAGGTGGTGGCACTCCAGGAATATGCAAAGATCAACTTGGATCCCTAGATTAGTGAAATGTTAAATATTACAGGATTTGCTAAGCTGATTGCCCTGTTGAAGAAAATGTCCTTAAGAAAATTTCCTGATTATGGAAGTTACAATGAATGAACCATTATTTACTATGAGGAATATTTTTTCCTCATTGATTCATGGGAAATGAACTTTTCTACTTACATCAGTGGGTGATGCGTTCTCTGCTTCAAAAGTTTAGAGCGAGGCCAATATTTAGGAAAAGTACATTAAAATGAGCAAATATGTGAAATGGGCAACCTTGAGTGTATTTTCTTACTAGAGAAAGAGAACAGGCCGGTGGTGAGTTTGGGATTTGGGGGAGAAGAAAAGTTAATTACTTTCCTGAACCACATTTCTACTCCTTTAGTTAACCAGACAGTTGAAATAAAATATAGTCGTTGTTTTCTCTCTCTCTGACTTACCCAGGCAGAGGTGTATGTTGAATATTAATTCTTTCATATTAAAGCTTTTGAAATGTTAGTTGAAGGCAGTGATGGTTCAGTGGTAGAATTCTCAACTTCCATGTGGGGGACCTGGGTAGGATTCCCAGCCAGTGCACTTCGTGCCCAGCCACCATCCATCTGTCAGTGGAGGCTTTTGTGTTGCTAGAATGCTGAGCAGGTTTCAGCAGACCTTCCAGACTAAGACAGACTAGGAAGAAAAGCCTAGCAATCTACTTCTGAAAATCAGCCATTGAATACCTCATGGATCCAGTGATCCACAACCAGTCGTGGGGATGACGCAGGACCGGGCAGTGTTTCATTCCACAGTGCTTGGGGTCGTCCTGTAGTGGAGGCTGATTTGATAACAGCTAACGACAACAACAGATGTTAGTTATCTTGAAGGGGTATATATTTGTGGATGTTAACTCTAATGAGGTCAATCAGATGTTACACTTTTCAGACATTCCTCATGGTATGACCTCATCATCCCATGACAGGCAAGCTTGCGACCCCCCTTTGGGCTTGATTTTCCTTTCCACCCCCTCCTCTCTACACCCCGTCCTCCCTACACCCCCTCCTCTTCCCACCAGGTCTAAAATCAATGTTAAATTTGAAGTTTGATAACAAAAACAAATCCAGTGTCATTAAAGTTAAAGGTTTCCTCTTTTGAAATACCAATATTTTTGTTCATAATCTGGGTAATGGGTACATAGGTTTTTCTTCTGTTATTATTCCTTAAAATAGATATGTAATGCTCTCTTGTATAATTGCTGTATTTCATAATAAAATAATTTATTTATATAAAGACTAATCATCTCAGAGCTTGGCTCAGTCTCTGAACACTATGAATTGTAGCCTTTCAGGCATGTTTCCCTATAGCTCAGAATTGGAGGCGCGGAAAGACCATGGGTAGGAGCGAGGAGTGGGAGAATTACCAACTAATGGCCTGGCTCCATTTTCGCCTTTATAGGGTAAAGCATCAAGTGGAATACCTGGGTCTGAAAGAAAACATTCGGGTGAGAAGAGCTGGCTACGCTTATCGGCGCATCTTTCAAAAATTCCTACAGAGGTAATGGCTGGTAGCTCTGGACTCCTTTTTTTTTTTTTTGTCTTTTTAACAACTTTGTTGAGATGTAATTCACTTACATGCAGTTCGTCCACTTAAAGTATAAAATTCAGTGGCTTTTAATATATTCACATAGGTGTGCGTCTGTCACCACAATCAATATTAAAATATTTTCATCACCCCAAAAATAAATCCTGCTTCCCTTAGCCATCAGGTCCCACCCACCTTCTCGAACCTCTCCAGTCCTAGGCAACCGCAATTCTGATTTCTGTCTCTGTAGATTTGTCTGTTCTGGACTTTTCATATAAATGGAATCCCCATACGTGGTCCTTTGTGATTGGCTTCTTTCCTTAGCATAATTTTTTAAGGTTCATCCACGTGGTAGCACGTATTGGCCCTTCATTCTTTTTATTACCAAACAATATTCCGTTCTATAGATATGCCACATTTTATTTCCTCATTCACTAGCTGAGGGACTTCTGGATTGTTTCCATTTCTTTGGCTGTTATGACTCATGCCGCTATGAACGTTCATGTACCAGTTTTTACGTGGACTTGTTTTCAGGTCTCTTTGATCTCCACCTGGGAGTGGAATTGCCGGGTCAGGTGTATAAGCATTTTGAGGAAGTGCCAGGCTGTTTGCACAGCAGCTGCTCATTTCCCACGCCCGCCAGCATTGCGTGGTGTTTCCAGTCTCTTCATTTCCTTGCTGGCACCTGGGAGCGGCTGACTTTTTGATTCTAGCCCTCCTCGTGGGTGCGAAGTGCTACCTCAGCGGGGACTTGATAGGCATTTCCCTATGGACTAATGATGCTGAGCATCTTTTCATGTGCTGATTGGCCATTTGGTTATCTCCTTGGGAGAAATGTCTGTTCAAGTCCTGTGTCCGTTTTTTTAATTGCATTATTTATCTTGTCGTTATTAAGTTGTCATGGACTGTGTCCAGAAGTATTTGGCAAGCTGGCCATTTAGGGTAACAGAAGGTCAAGAATTCATGACTGTGACACAGGCAGGGCTCAGGATTAACGTGACTGAGTAAATTCATAGTATGAAGACAGTTTCGGGAAATACTTAGCCCAATTAAGAAAACAAGCTTAAAGTATTTAAAATATATTTGGCTGGCCCTACACAGTGGTTAAGAGCTACAGCTGCTAACCAAAACCTTGGCAGTTCGAATCCACCAGCTGCTCCTTGGAAACCCTATGGGGCAGTTCTACTCTGTCCTGTAGCGTTGCTATGAGTCGGAATTGGCTCAACGGCAACGGGCTTTTTTTTTACACTTTGATTGCTCTTATTTTGTTATCTATTTTTGAAAAGAATACAGTGTAGTGCCCTAAACTATTATATGATTCTGATTTCTCTAATGATTCTAAATTAGTGGAGTTCCATTGTATTTTTCTACATCTGTTTAATTTTGTTTCAGAAAAGAAAACCGTATTTTGTATTTCACTCAGAAAATAATTATATCTTCCTTGTGTGTGATACAGGGGCAGGATATAAAGATTTTTTTTCATTAAAATTTTTTATGCTCAGTGAAATAAGTTAATCACAAAAGGACAAATACTTTTTGGTCTCACTAATATGAAATAACAGGAATAGGCAAAGTGTACAGAGAGCAAAGTTTATTAGTGGTTACCAGGGGCAGGAGGGAGGGGAAAGGGTGAGTTTTTCTTTAGTGTCTGTTTATGAGGATGGGAAATCTGGGGACGATTATGGGTGAGGGTTGCAGAACATGGTTAACTGATAATCACTACATTGTGACCCTGAAAAATGTTGTGTTACGTATATTTTTACAACAATAAGAAAAACTAAAATTTTATGTAAGAAAGAACTAGCAGGTTCTAGAGAAGCTTAATTCTTTGAAGCTGAGCCCTTCTAAGAAGACAGTCTTCCCTTTGGGGTCGCTGTTGTTTCTTGTGTCTTGAGATGAGGACAGCTGAACCAGTGGTCATCGATATGGAAGGTCATTGTTATGTGCCCGTCGAGTCAATTCCTCGACCCCACAGGACAGAGTAGAACCGCCCCGTAGGGTTTCCTAGGCTGAAATCTTTCGAGAAACCCATCAGGTCTTTTTCCCGCTGAGCTGCTGGTGGTTTGAACCACCAACCTTTTGCTTAGCAGCCGAGCGCTTAACCACTGTGCCACCAGGACCCCTTAAAAAGGCGGGCAGGAGGGTTATTTCCCTACAGCAAAGCGTCTCTGACTCCGTCTCCACATAGGGTTCCCGGTAATTTTGGAGGCTGGTTGGACTAGGAATAAACTCACCCACACCACTCTGGGAATTAAAGGGCCCACTATACCAACAGTGCGAGCAAGCCTCTATGAAAGGAAGGATTTAGGAAATAAATTTCTAGAGCCCTTGCATCACTATAACAGCATGCATGTGCTGATGAAGAGCAGACAGGTGAATTATAAAGGACCAAGCTCTGCCTTAAATGGATCAGTAATACTAGTTTAGAAAGGGCTTTGGGTTTCTCAGCCTCAACTGTTAACATTTTGGGCTGGAGAATTAATTATTTGTTGTGGGGGAGTTATCCTGTGCCTTGCAGGATGCTTAGCAACTTCCCTGGCCTCTGCCTACTAGATACCAGTAGCATCCTCCCAGTTTTGACAACCAAAAATTTATGCGACATTGTGGGATGTCCCCTGGGGGACAAAGTCAGTTGAGAACCACTGGCACAGATAATCATTAAAGTTTCAGCAAAACTGCATTTCTTTGAAAATACTCTTCTTTAGTTAAGAAAAAAGTTACAAACAGAAAATAGTGAATGCAAGTATTCCCTGTCTTTCCCTAGTTCAGAAAGACCCACACTCAACAATCTAAAATGTTTATAATTATATCCTTCTTTAATATTTTTCCTGTGCTTGAAAATTCTCTATTTCATATTTGAAATTTCTCTTTAGGCATTACTATTAAAAACTGATCAGACGTTTTTGTCTAATTTGATTTTTTTTTTTTTTTCTGAGAAACCAATTATGAAAGACCTCTTTCTTACCACTTTATTAAAAAAAGGAAAGAAGGAGGGGAGAGGAAAGAAGGCAGGAGAAGGGGAGAGAAGGAAAGAGAAGAAGGGAGGAAGGAGAGAAAGAAAGAAAGCTGATTTCCATAAGCAATACTGTGAGCTGCACAGCACTGGGGACAGCAGGGCATCCGTGTACTCCTGCAGGAAGGCTCTGTGCCTTACCATGTCCAAGGCACCCTGAGAAGGCTGTGTTACTTGTTTGCAGCTCCTGAACAGAGCTGTGACGTGACCTCGCTGGGCATACTGTTGAGACCTCTCTTGGTGCCACACCAGCCCGTGGCGCCATGCAGGGTGGTGCCTTCCATAGAGTAGGCATTTAGTGAGTTTCTCTTCTGCCCCTTACATTGAGTGGCTTTCCTGGAAATAATTCTACCCTTGGATGCCTTCCTCCTTAGCTCTCCCACTGGGATTTTTTCCTCCAGAGGAGATGAATGAACCTGTCTTATTACAGCCAAGCTTTTTTGTTATTGTCATACTTCTCTTGGCTGAACACGCTGGGAGGGTAATAAACAAAATAAAGTTTGAAAGTAAATTTATTATTTAATCAACCATTTTCAGTCTTCCACGCTATATTTCAAAGCTGGTATTCAAACAGTCCAACACTCAAAAAGACTTGAAGGCCAGGCATGTCAATGGGCAGATAATATTTCGCCCCCAGAACATGGCGTTTTCCATAAGGTATGTGAGTCTGGGATCCTGGTCATGCAGAATTCATCCAGAGTCTGCCATTGACTATCTCATTGCATGATCCCCTACAAGTAATTGAACCATCTTATACTTTTATTTTCTCCATGGCTGAGAGAAAGGGCTATATTTATAACATTGCTTTCTAGGTATCTACAGAAAGGCTGCTAAGTGAGAATTACAGAGTAGAAGCCTGAAGAAAGGGGTATATTAACACCCAGCACAACTATCCACACGTACATGCATTATACCTCTGCCCGTGGAATGGAAATCCAGAGGTCTAAACAGAGGCACGCTAACAGGCACTACCTGGAGCATAATGGTGGCTTAGAAAATAGGAAGCAAGGACTTTTTTTGCGTGTCCATTTCCTGTCTGAAAATCCTTGATATTAATCAAAACTATCCCTTGTGACTGAGTATTGGAGAGCAAAAATTAAAAGGCACCTCAATTCTTCTGCCGGTAGGCCATGTACTCTTGAAGTAAATCTGGTACTGCTTTAAGCAGCGGGTGGATGAATCCTTTTCTGACACCTTCACAGTATGACTTTCATGCCTTTAAAAAGTCTTAGAAAGCTGTTAGATATGACAGCCATGTTGGGTCTCAGCTGGGGAACATACCTTTAAATTCTTGAGAAAACATCTCTTTGAGCTAAGAACGTGTACTCCTTATTGTGGTTGGAAGAAAGAAGTCCAAATATAGATTCTGATCGTTAGGAAGAAAATTGCAATATAAATGAAGAGATTGGCATAGTTTCTCTTGTAGCAAGATTTACAGGTCCTCGCAAGCATTCTTCCTTTGACCTGGCTCCTCAGAATGTAGGGTGGAAAAGGGATACTCTCAGGAAAGGTATTCCATGCCAGGGACAAGACAGAAGAAAGTCTAGGAAGCCCAGGAGAGCTTGAGGTGGTAGAAAGTGTCCTGGCTACCAGCATTTGTGTGTCCTGAGGATCTGAAACATCCTTAACCGTACGTGCCAGTGGCCGGAGGTCACTGAGGACTTGGCCACACTTCCTCTGAGGAGGAAACATTTGAGAGATAACCAGGATCTAACCAGTCTAAGGGCAGGGAAGCATACCCAGGCAAAGAGAATAGCAACCCCAAGGCCTTGAGGTGAAATGTTGGCCTATTTGGGACTTAAACTGAAAACGCCTGACGAAAGAAGTGTAGCTATTACCATCTCTCCATAGTTATCCTGGGCACCAATTAGTAGCCCCACTGTCTTGTGCAGCCTGATCTCTCCACTGTGTCCTGGAGAAGGACGGCATGAACCAGGTATACCAAGTGGGAGAGCATTGGCTATGGGTGAATCTGATTCTGTCTTCTGAGGGAACTGTGGATCCTCAAGGCCAGTCCACTCTTCCCAAGCCTTTCTTCTCACCAGACGTGCTGGGCTGCCAGAAGTCAATCTAATCCTGGTAGTAGCTCCTGGGAACCAAGAGGACCCTGGCTTTTCTCAAAATGTGTCGGCACATAGGCTTCACGCCCACATAATCCTCTTCTGATTTTCCCTCCCTCCCTTCCTTCCTCCCTTCCTTCCTTCCTTCCTTCCTCCCTCTCTCCCTCCTTTCCTCCCTCCCTCCCACCTCAGGTCTTTGATACCTATTGTATTTGACATCTTGGAATGAGCTTTTCTTTCCTCTATTATATCAGCCTCTGATTATAAACCTTTCAACATAGTGGACTTTATCACCTTTAAAAGAAATATTGACATATAAGCCAATCCTTGGCTTATATGTAGTGCAGTGATTAAAGAGACAAATTGGGGTTCGAATTCCAGCTCTGACATTAAGTAGCCTTGGGCAAGTCTCTATTTGCCTTCGTTTCCTATTCTGCAAAATGGGAAGCTGCACCTCCTCTGGTTGCTGTAAAAATAAAATGTGATCATACATCTAAAGCACCAAGAATAGCACCTGGAGCAGACAGAGCATCCCAGCAATGGTAACCTTTAATGTTAGCTATTATACTGGGCGGAAACCCTGGTGGCGTAGTGGTTAAGAGTTCAACCGCTAACCAAAAGGTTGGCAGTTGAAATCCACCAGGTGCTCCTTGGGAATCCTGTGGGGCAGTTCTGCTCTGTCCTATAGAGTCGCTGTGAGTTGGAATCCACTAGGCAGCAACCAGTTTGTTCTTCAGGATCACACTGTGCGCCAAGCGTGGTTCAGATGCTGGATGTGCAACTACGAACCACACAGACATGGCGCCCTCTCATGGAGCTTTCATCCTCAAAAATGAGGCATAAATCAACCAAATCAACACAAATGTGAATATAGTTATAAATTATGATACATGCTGTGAGGGAAAAATAGTATTTTCTGGAGAATAATGGGGTTAGGGGTGCAATTTGTGATTGGATGGTCTTCTGAGACCTCTCTGGAAGTATCCCTGAAGGTGAGGCTTGATGCCTTGAGTACAAGCCAGCCAAGGGAGGCGTTTGGAAAACAGCACTCCTGGTGGAGGGAGCAGCATCAGGAAGGCTCCGAGGGGGCATCTGTTTTAGTGTGCACAAAGAACAAGCCGGCCTTCCAGGAACATAGGGAGCCAACAAGACAGTAGAAGAGACAAGGTTGAAGAGTAGCCAGGGACCAGATCACTGTGGGCCTCAGGACTCCAGGTGGACAGGATTTCAAAAACAGCTGCTTGTAGGGAGCTTTGTGAAACTCTTTCACATGAATTGCTATGTGCTCTGAAGAAATCGGGGGAAATTAGCATTGAGAAAAGACCATTTGATTTTGCCAAAGAAGTGTAGTTGGTGACCTTCAGCAACGCTATTTTTAAACAGTGGTAGAAAGGAAAGCGGATTTTCACTAGGGCGTTAACATGGTAACGGTCAGAGTAGGAGGCAGTTCTGTAATGGGCATCCCAGATCCAGAGGATTTTTCCAGTCGCTGAGGTACATCCCTGAGTAAGCCTTTGAGCAGTGGTAGATGGATCACCTGTACCCCATCAGCGCTGGTGCCTCTAGAACAAAGCTCCTGTCGCCTACCAGGTGGTCCCGTCTGAGTCTGCTGCTTCTCTCCTTACTTGTCCTCACAGATACGCCATTCTGACCAAAGACACCTGGCCATCATGGAGAGGAGACGAGAAGCAAGGTGTCCTCCACCTGCTGCAGTCCGTCCACATGGACAGTGACCAGTTCCAGCTGGGGAGGAGTAAAGTGTTCATCAAAGCCCCAGAGTCTGTGAGTGTGCCTGCGTCGCTGCCCCCTCCCCTCAGGGCCTCCGCCAGCCCCTCCTCACTCGTGGCTACTTCTTTTTCCCATCCTTCCTTCATGCCTTAAATGTCATCTCTTCAAAAAAAGGCACTCGCTCCCCTCCCAACCTAAGTTAGTCGTTCCTGGCACCCCTTCCATCTCAGAGTCTGTCACCAGCCCATTCACCTCCTTCATAGCACTTAAATCAGTTGCCTTCCAGTTGATTCTGACTCACGGCGACCTCGTGTGTGTCAGAGTAAAAACTGCTCTAGGGGGTTTTCAGTGGCTGATTTTTTAGAAGGAGATCAACAGGGCTTTCTTCCAGTGCACCTCTGACTGTACTTGAAACGCCAACCTTTTGGTTAGCAGCCCAGCGCAGTTAACAGTTTGCAACACCCAGAGACCCCTTCATAGCTCTTAGCATTTATAGATGTCATCAGATCATGGTTTCTTTTCTTGCTTATTGTCTCTGCTCTTCTAGGCAGTACTCTCGGGAGAGAAAGGACTCTTGTCTGTTTCGTATGCCTTTGTATACCCACAGCCTAGTACAGAGACTGGCTCATACGAGGTGCCCAGTAGTTATTTAATAAAGGAAAGCATCAATCAACAAACTGCGTTTCTAAGCCAAGAACGGAGTTCTTTGTCCCGCGGAGGAGGTTTCTGCAGCCCACACTCTGATCTGGGTGATACCAAAGAGACTAATTACACACAAGCCCAGGTTTCCTCCTGGAAGGCCAAGCAGAGCCCAGCGGTGGGAATTCCAGGACTGTGCTTTGGAGACCGTGCAGGAGCGTGGAGAGGGCTTTTGGGGAGAGGGATAGAGTTGCTAAGGAATACTTGATCTTAAGTGATCTTAAATGAGAGGAAAAATTGGTCATATCTCTGAAGAGCTTGAAGAAACAGGTTAGGAAGAAGGAGAAATCTTCGGTATATAGAATACAATTTAGACAGTCAAGCATGCATGTTTTACAACTACCCAACTTGCTAGACCTCTAAGGATTCATTTAGAGGAAACTTCTTGATCGTTTCTGGTGACGGTGTGGTCATGATGGGCCATAGGAAGGTCTCCCTTGGAGCAGGAATCCAGCACAGCCCTCAAGTCTGCTGTCCAGTTAGCTCTGGGGCTATAAAGTAAAGACTACTTTTTAAGTCAGAGAAATTGCTGGAACTCACTGCTAACCAAAAGGTCGGCAGTTTGAACCCACAGGGCGCTCCTTGGAAACCCTATGAAGTAGTTCTATTTTACTCTGTCCTATAGGGTCGCTAGGAGTCGGAATGGACTCGCTGGCAGCGGGGTTGGGTTTTTTGGTTTCACCAGTGTTCAGCATCATCATTTCTTGAGGTTCCCTTAACAATCACAAGATTTCAAGAGTCAGTGTGAACTTGGCAAAATTAGTCATTAGACTGAGGACCTGCGGGATTGGTGATAATGGAAACATGTGACTTTGGGCAAATCCTGACCTCTCAGTTGATTTTTTTTCTCTGGTGAGATGAGCTGCTGCTGTTGCCTGCCCACCTCGTAGGACCTGCCCGAGACTCAGAGAAGATAATGGATGTGATGGGCTTTATGGACCATCACAATTATTAAATAAATAAGTGGCACACATCAATAGAACTCATTTATAAAAAGTTTGTGGTAGCGTTTTCCACTTTGAGTTATTTATAGCTTCACAGCCATTTCATTTCCAAATATAAAATGGAAATGTTGTGTCATACACCATTAACCAACCCACAGAACAGTTCCTGTTCTTTCTAAAATGAGATGGAGTGCTTTGTCAGGACAATGCAGAACTCCCCTCTTTGTTTTATGCCCGTGTCTACTTTTCAACTTGCTGTATTTTCACAGATAATTAAAACAGCCTCAGTATTTTCTATATATATATATATATATTTTTATGATCCAGTTGAGCTTTGGAATTTTATTTCCAAAATTAAGATGTATTTTTTGGTTTTCATTTTCCTTGATTTCCTCCTAATTGCTTTATTGCTACCACTTGACTGTCTCTTCCCCATCTTTGTACACACACCCACACAGCCACCCACACCCATGCCCACACAGGCCCCCCCCCAGCACCCACCCAGCCACATCTGGCACTCACATGCAAATACTTTTACGAAAGTTGTGGGATTTTTTTTACAATCTACCTTGTGACTTTGCCTTAACTTTCATAGTAAAGGTGCTGAATATACAAAATAATCTATTTGCTTTAAGAACCCACAATGGACATTGAGGACCAAAGAGTTTGGGGTTTTTGTTTGTTTGTTTTTGCATGTGTTTTGCTAACTGTGGTTGCTTTTTGTTTTTTTCCCTTTTCTTTTTTCTTAAGCCTCCCTGGTTTCTAACTCCCAGGGCTTTTTTTTTTGGGGAAAGAAACCTAAAACCGAGCTCATTGTAGCAATAGTCTATAGGAAGTTGAGAATTTGGTCGCCTCTTCATCCTTTCTATGAGTCACAAGTGTATTTTCTGTGTTACTCCCAAAAATAGTTCTGGGAAAGACGAAGGAAAGAAGACTTAGTCAGAAATGCAGTACACAAGATAAGCAACAGCCAGGAGTCCTCTTGCAACAGGCGACCACAGCACTCAGATTTTCAATGTTTGTCCAGTTGTTAAACCCCGCATATTCCACTTTGGGGTCAGAAATATGCTTCTTATTCCTAGTGTACTCTAGCATTGGAAGCTGTGGAATTAAATGACCTTTCTCTTGGTATTTGGAGTTTGGGAAGGTTGTTTCTGCAGAGCAGGGCCTGTGAGAAGGGGGAGAGGCTGAGTGGCAGAAGGGGTTGATGTGGTTCCCAGTGTAGACATGAATAAGCAGACAACAAATCAAGCCCAGCTGCCTTCCAAACAAACTCCCTTGTTTACTTCTGGGACATTTTTGCAATGACTATCCAATCGTCTTCACTTTGAGTTTCTATTGGTGCATTTTATTTATTTCTTTGAGAGGCAAGTGTGCCACTTCCTAAGTGAATAAGAAAAGTTTCCCACCATTGTAAGAGTAGATCGCATGCAGATTTACAGAGAAAGACTTTGACAAAGTGAGGCAGAGCCTGGCCAAGCCTGAGAGACCTTGGCTGACATTCCTGCCCCACCCTGTCTTAGTCCCTTGGCCTCAGCCCTGGTTTTCTCGTCTGTGTAATGGAGATGACAGAAATATAGTGCTCACTGAGATAATCTTTAAACCTTAAACCAAAAAATATCCCCTGAAGTCTTCTTAAAACCAAAAAATAAAAAAAAAATAGTTCAACTTAACTGGTAAAAAAAAAAATGTCTACTTTGAGCATCGTGCTCTTTTAAGATCTATCTGTACGGGATCAAATTGACAACAGCAACTTGAGAGATCAGATAGAACCCTTAGGGGGCAGTGAGTTTATGTTGATGAGGGAGGAACAACTCAGAAAAGAAGGGTGACAATGGTTGCACAACTTGAAGAATGTGATCAAGGTCTCTGGGTTGGACACGTAGAAACTGTTGAACTGACGTATGATTTGCTGTGTATATTCTCAACAACCACAACATAAATAAAGTAAATTTTAAAAAGTATATCACTCATCTAGCTGTTGAGGGGTTGGATGCAATAATGTATGTAAGGCTTCTGGAATGATCCCTGATCCAGCGTGTACACTCAATACGTTACGGCTATTTGCTGTCATTATCATTACTGTAGAACCTGGTTGATTGGGTGCAGCAGTCAGTATTAATTCCTAAAATGGCCCGAACCTCAAGATCTGCCAGAGTCTGTTGTGGGCCCGTAAACAGTCCCAGCCCCTCTTAATGAAGCCAAGTCTTTCCCAGCCCATCTGAAGTCCGGCTCCAATCACTGTGGTTCTTACCCTCTGCTCCACTGACTCCTTGAAGAATCCTATGAGGCAGGAAGTATATACTTTTGTGGAACCAAAAGTAGGACAGCCCTCTTGCCACAGCAGCGCAAGCTCTGCTCCTGCAATAGCTGGAAAATTCTTTTAAGGGACTATGTGCAGCACCAAGCAACAGCAACAGCCTCTAGCAACCCATGTCATGTAGCCACCTCGTATCCTCTTTGGAGCAAGGTGGGGAATAAGGGAGTAATGCTGAGTTGCTCATTTGGTTGTCACAGAGACCAGAGCAAGACAGCGCAGACACCATTATTAAGGTCCAACTGAATACATTCATATTCAGCTACTTCCCATGATGTTTTTTATTAAGAGGGAAAAATGTATAGCGATCATAAAGAACACGCCATAGTAATCATTTTTTCATGAGGCTGAGAAGCTGCTTCCCATGTATGTCTTTGACTAAACTGAGTATCTCTTTTTTTTTTTTTTTTTAATGGGATGTTTAGATCTTGTCAATTCCCTCACTTTGTCTTCTCTACACTCGCAGCTATTTCTTCTAGAAGAGATGAGGGAGCGAAAGTATGATGGCTATGCTCGAGTGATTCAGAAATCATGGAGGAAGTTCGTGGCCAGGAAAAAATATGTCCAAATGAGAGAAGAAGGTATTTTATTCATTTTGTTTCTTGCATTTAACGAATCTCAAGAGTAAGGTTGAGCCTAGATAAAGTCACAGATTTTGTTTAGTTCGCATATAATGTTGTGTGTTAAACTCTTGCGTTCATTTAGAGTTTCTATGTGTATTTCTACGCTAAGTATTTTCCTTCTTCTCTTGGGGACTGAGCCTTCTCCTTTCTCCACTCTCTCGGCAATTGCAGCCTCAGACCTCTTGTTGAACAAGAAGGAGAGAAGGAGAAACAGTATTAACAGGAACTTCCTCGGGGATTACATTGGGATGGAGGAGCACCCCGAACTCCAGCAGTTTGTGGGCAAGAGGGAGAAGATTGACTTTGCAGACACTGTCACCAAGTACGACCGGAGGTTCAAGGTACATGCAGACCTCCCGCCTCCTAGGTTGTCAAACAGATCCCATATTTGTAAAAAATAACATGTAACGTTGCTTTTTTAATTAGCAAAGCAGAGCATGTTCATTGTAGAAAATACAGGTAAGCCGAAAGAAGAACAGCGACTTCACTGAGAGGCAACCCCCATTAACATTTTGCATGAATCCTTCAGACCACTTGTATGCGGGTACACACACACAGATTTAGTTTTACAAAAATGAGCTATGCATTTCATGCTGTTTATAATATGCCAAAGGGAGCTTTCCATATTAATAAATGCATCCAAATTATTTGGCATAGCTGCATAGTATTCCATTGAACAGATGCTTTATTACTCTTAACCAATTTCTCATTAATCACTTCTTAGTGTTTGTTTTTCCACCATCATAACTGCAGTGAGTAGCCTTTCGCACGCATCTTTGTGCATCTTGTCTCCTAACGTTTTCAGAATAACCTGGTAGGAGTAGAATTGCTGGGTCAAAGGATCCAGAATATCTTTAGAATCATCAAGCAGTATTGCAAAGTGTTCTCGCTCATCTTCCCTGTGTGAATGACTGAGTAAGGCTTTATTCATTAGCCACTGGATAAACAGCTTATTTCTTATCTCTTCTTTTAAACTCTATTTTGCCTGATAGAATGATGGTCCTGATAGTGAAATCTGAAGCCCCTTAGCTCATGGACACATTAAGATCTTTTTTTTTTTTTACCAGAAAAATAATGAAATAAATAACAGTGTGACTTTAACAAGAAGGATGGTGTTTTGCTGAAACCAGATTATTCCTTGCAACCTGAATATGGTACAGGCTTTGAATGCAAATGTGGCTGCTCAGGTCAGCCGTGCTCAGTTAAAGGGAGTCTCCCAGATGGTCCAAAGTATGTCTGTGAAATGAAAATATATCAATTCTAAAGAAAAAAGATTTCATGGACTCCCAAGAAAATATATACAGACACTTGAGGGATCCTGTTTGAGAAACGTGCTCTAGCAGATAACTGATAGGGTCATCATCATGCGTCGGTTTGCCGGGGACAGTCCCATTTCCACCTGTTGTCCTAATGCCTCAGGTAGAACCATATAATGTGCCATTTTTAGAAGTCAAGAGGAGTAGTCAAATAGCAATTTCATATGTGTCGACCAAATAACCATGAACACTGCCCCCATCACTCTCAAATGACTTGGGTTAGATGATAAATCCCATTGTCATCTCAGGGGTAGTGAAGCTTTGCTGCCCAAGGTATCTTCCCTCTTCCTGATAACAGTCACCCACTGTGTAGATAGTTGTCACTTTGAACATGTCTATCCACCTTCTAAAGCACCTCTCGTTACAGGGTGTAAAGCGAGACTTGCTTCTTACCCCAAAGTGCTTGTACTTAATTGGACGAGAAAAGGTCAAACAGGGCCCAGACAAAGGCCTTGTGAAAGAAGTGCTGAAGCGGAAGATCGAGATGGAGAGGATCTTGTCCGTGTCCCTCAGGTGAGTGGCGAGGGGTGGGAGGCAGGGGTACCCCATCTCTCCTCACCATCACCATTGCCGTTCCACACAAAGCCAGGAGGAAGGCCTGGCTGGGCTCCCCGTTGATAAAAGTGTGCTGAAGAGCACTGAATTTTCCCTTCCTCCCCAAGGAGACCTGAACTTCGTAAGTCCCAGGGAGTCCTCATACGACAGGAATAAGATAACAAGAAAGCCGCCTTCTGGCCATCTCCTCTAATCAAGGGATACTCAGATCCTTTGTTCCCACAAAACTTTAGAAATAATCCTAATATGTGGAACAAATTGGAATAGAACTGGTCTTACTGAAGCAACGCTGCGGGTCCAGAGCCCTGTTCCCTGTCCCACCTCACCCAGTTTGAAAACTTGACTCATTTCACCAGCAAAATTCCTTAAGCAGTGGTGGCCTTTGGGGCTGTCCACTTCAATTTGCTGTGACCTCAGATTGTCCTGGAAAGAAAGTTTCTTGGAGGCTCCTTAGGGTTCTTTCTGTCTGTGCATACACAGGAGGAAATGCAAATTGGTCTTCATAATGTGTAGTCCTGGAGTCATTGCCAAGTGTCCCATTTGGATCCAGGTTCACAGGCAATTGGAAGCCTTGGCTCCTTCTGCAAGGTCTCAGGCAGGGTCCCTTGCTCCTCCTGTCAGCATCTGCCTTTCTTTTGGCAGAGAGACTCCTGTGCATAAGGAGACTTCCCCAAATCCTCACCTGCTAAGAACTCTCAGACTAAGTTCCCTCTAAGAGGAAATGCCTCCCAGTCCACAGAAGACTAAGAAAGAGGAAGGAAGGAAGCCCCCCTGGAGCCCGGTGGCTTCTTCCTTGAGTTATGGCCCTGCTCCCTGTAAGGCTGTCATTGCCTTTGCCGGGGAAAGCTTTGGGCAGCCATCGCATTAAAAAGTGGTGTACTGAACGCATCCTGGAATTGGAACACCTCTCTAAACCCTTATTCCGCACAGAACACAAAACAGCCATGCTAAGGGGAAAAAAGGGGTTTTGTGTGCTCAGGCATTTGACCCACCAGGTGGGAAATCCTGGCCCCAATGTGGTCCCCAGTGTGATAATCCAAAGCAGACTTCGAGTAGTGTCCTTTCTTGCCTGTGTCACTACAGTTTCTGACTGTATCTGTTCTAATTTTGCTGGATAAAGGGCTAGGTGGTGCAGTGGGGGTACGTGTTTAAAACATGCCAGCTCAAGGTGCAGGGAAATTCCTAAGCAAATGAATCCACAGGTATCCTTTTTTCAGATAGGTCTCCGTGCTATTGATTTCAGGAAAAGCTCCCGGTGCTGTCTGCTTTTGAGAGGGTCTCTCTAAGCACTGTGTCCACTGGCCCATGTCACAGCTAGATTGGGGCAGTCTGCTGGCCACAATCTTCCTGGGTTGGCTGGGCCCTGAAGGTCCACAGGCTGCTGCTCCCGGTGTTCCAAGGAAGCCTACAAGAAACTTTTTGTCTTAGTCATCTAGTGCTGCTGTAACAAAAATACCACAGGTAGATGGCTTTAACAAAGAGAAATTTATTCTCTCACTGTCTAGGAGGCTAGAATTCAAGGTGCCAGCTCCAGAGGAAGGCCTTCTCTCTCTGTCAGCTCTGGGGGAAGGTCCTTGTCATCAATCTTCCCCAGTTGAGGAGCTTCTCAGCGCAGGGACCCTGGGTCCAAAGGATGTTCTATTCCCCTGGCTCTTGTTTCTTGGTTGTATGAGGTCCCCCATGTCTCTCTGCTTGCTTCTCTCTTTTACATCTCAAAAGAGATTGGTTTAAGACACAACCTAATCTTGTAGATTGAGTCCTGCCTCATTAACATAACTGCCACTAATCCCATCTCAAGATCACAGAGATAGGATTTACAACACGGAGGAAAATCACATCAGTTGACAAAACAGTGGATAATCAACAATCCTGGGAGTCATGGCCTAGCCAAGTTGACAGATATTTTGGGGGGACACAATTTAATTATGACACTTTTTTATCTTCTTTTTCCTTGCATGGTGACCTAGGTTAAGCTGGGTTGGTTGAACTGTGCTGTGTACGCTTGCCAGTAGCTGTGGCTACAGACCAGGGAATCATAGCTTCAAGGCACATGTGGTCTTTACTGCGAGAGTGGTCGTTGTCCTTGCTATCATTATTGCCTGGTCTGTCCTCAGTCCCCCGGACCACTCAAGAATTGCTGTTCTTATAGCACCAACAGAAGGCTCATGATGACCATAAAAATCATGATGTATTTACATTTGTACAAAACACCTTGACGCTTACGGTATTGTTGATCTAGCCCTTCCGGCTTATCAGGACCTGGTTGTTCACACTCAGATTTCTTTTCTTCCTCTTCTCACAGCCTCTAGGGTACAGAGTCTAATGGTAAAACTAGCTTATTTTTATCCTTCATCTTTAATATTCATAACCTGGCAGCTTACTTCCTTCTGGCCTTTCCTTTTTAGAAGATGTGATAAAATGAGGTACTTGGCTTAAAAGTAGTTCTAGCTTGAAAGGGGGTGGGGGGGGAAGAGCCTGAGTCATTTTAACTTGTGATTTTGCATGTTGCAGCTACTGGAGCCTCACACTTAGCAAGACTAATGCCGCCCCATTCTGTCCTGTGTACAGTGGATTAGGCCAGGAATCAGGGACCACATTAGGGAAGGAGCCAGAGGGACAGTGGTTTGTGCAGAATCGAACCCAGAGTAGAAGCTGAGTGTGATAAAAGACCAAGGAACGTGTGTGTGTGTGTGTGTGTGTGTGTTTGTGGATATTTTAACAAAATACTTCAGTCATGGTATAAAGAAAGATTTAACAGTCATCTCGTACTTCTAACATCTCTATGTGTTTTGAAGAATTTTTGGGACTTACCAGTTTACTATGAGCTAGAATTATGTCAGCTGATGGTTTCTTGGAGTCCCTGGGTGGTTCACTCAGCTGCTAACCTAAAAGTTGGAGGTTCAAGTCCACCCAGAGGCACCTCAGAAGAAAGCCCTACCAATTTACTTCCCAAAGATCAGCCATTGAAAACCCTGTGGAACACAGTTCTACTCTGACACAAATGGGGTTGCCATGAGTTGGAATCAACTTGACAGCAACTGGTTTGACTAATGGCTTCTTATAGTTAAGACTGTCAAAGTGCCTCGCAAGCTTGATCTTTCAGTCCCATCTGTCACTCATAACTACCGTCAAAGCCAAGAAACCATTATGAGATGATTCGGGAAATGGGAACATGACTAAATACTTGATGTTAAGGATTTCTTATTTATTCTTCAGGTCTGATGATATATATTGTTGTTATTGGTATTTGAAGAGTCTCTATCTTTAAGAAATAACACATTGAAATATTTAAAGATAAAGTAATATAATGTCTGTACATTGCTTTAAAATAACTAGTGTGGAAGCAGGGAAGTAGAGGTGTAGATAAATGGGATTGTCCGTGGGTTGGTAATTGTTAAAACCTCCTGACATGTGGAGGTTCTTTTTACTATTCTCTATACTTTTTTACGTATTTGAAATTTTCCATAATAAAAAGTGTTTTTAATCCTCTGGCAGACATTATATTTTTAGAAGCCTTTATCTTTTATAAATATACTGAAATAGATCTAGTTGAATTATAGTTGAAATTTTTAAAAATTCAAATTTGCAAGAAAAAAATAGGATCACAGCAGATAGAATTATGGCCAATGGCTCAGAAGGCTGCAGTTGCTCAAGGAATTCTAGGATACTTTGAACAGGAAAAATTCTTGTCTAAATGAAAGTTAGACCTGTACACTGATTCCTGTACCCCTGGCTTCACTGGAGACTTGGTGAGAATCAGGGTTATCAGTAGGTCTTGTATTAACATTATAGTTCAGACATCGGATTTCTGAGGCTTGGGGTGTCTGCTGATAGAGGGCTATGAATCCATTTTTGAAGCATCCTTGAAGATCTGCGTCTTGTCTAAGCACTGACCTGGGCTTACTCTTATTTGAAAAATTCCAGGTGCCAGCAGAGTGGCTGCAAAGTGTTCTTTGCCTTCCTGTTGTAGGTGATGAGATTGTTGCCATGAAATCACGTATTTGGGGCTCTCTCTGATGGGGCTTCTAATATTCCCTCTCATTCCGGTAGCTGACCACCAGAAGGCCTAAGACCAAAAGTTACCTGTCTGCATGTCTGAGTCAGTAGGTTTTCCAATACCTACATGTAATTGGAAAAGCAACTTTAAAAAGTACTAAAGGTACTTTAAGCAGCCCTGGTGGCTCGATGGTTAAGCGCTGGCTGCTAACCGAAAGGTTGGCCATTCGAACCCACCAGCCGCTCCACAGGAGAAAAGACCTGGTGATCTGCTTCTGTAAGGATTATAGCCTAGGAAACCCTATGGGGCATTTTTACTCCGTCATATAAGATTGCTATGAGTTGCAATCAACTTGGCAGCACACAACAACAAAAGTGCTTTAGACTGAGGCCCCAGCTTCCCCGCACAACATTCTTGCCTAGAATATTTCATTGCCTAGATGAATTAAACCTTCTGGCAATAAGAACAGCCCACTTTGCTGCCTCTTTGTCTGACCTGAAGTGTTACTGAAATCTTTACCTGCTGTGGCATTAGGCTTAGGGAATCTGGAAGTTGTCAACATTGTTGCACTGAACCTGTACCTGCATCAGGTCCTGTGTCTTAGGCAGGGTTCTCTAGAGAAGCAAAACCAGTGAAGCATGTATATATATATATAGAGAGAGAGAGAGAGAGATTTATCTCAAGGAACTGGTTCACGTGGTTGCGGAGGCTGGCAAGTCCCAAGTCCAAGGGCCAGGCATCAGGTTGGAGGCTTCTCCTGACTCGCGTAGCTGCAGAAGCTGATGAACCCAAGATCGGCAGGTCAGACAGCAGGCTGCTGGCTCATAGGCTGTGGAGGCCAATGAATCACAAGTTTGGCAGGTCAGACAGCAGGCTGCTGGCTCACGGGTTGCAGGGGTTGACGAACCTGAGATTGACCAGTAACACAGCAGGCTGCTAGCTCACAGGCTGGGGAGGCTGA